CTTGTAAATTAAAAAGTAATGCGTTACTTTACTAGTTACTTGAAAAAAGTAATCTGATTACGTAACTCACGTTACTTGTAATGCGTTACCCCAACACTGTAAACGGGGCTGCTTACCTACTTTGTCCTCTAGGCAAGGAGAATGTATCTAAATATATTTCAATGTCTAATATCAACTAGAATCACATACATACAGCTAAAAAACAGCACTTCTGAAAAAATTAATATGAATAATATATTTTGGTTTCTAATAGCTAGACAAAACAATTATAAAATCCTTTAGTTGACTAAAAGAAAACCTAAGACATTATTATTCCACGTAATCAAAATTTTAGTGAACAGTGCTGGGTGGATTACTTACAAATTGTAGTCTGTTAACTGATTACAAATTATGATGAAAACTGTAGTCAGTAGTTTCATTTAGATCACTCAATTACGCTAATGCATTTGGACTCCTTTTAGATTTCTTATTATGGCCTAACATTTGAATGGGATTATTGTTATTAAAGAGAAATCAAATATATTCCATTTTTTGTGAAATGCATTAAACATTGCATTACTTAAAGGTTTAAAAATAACTGTATTCTGAATACGAGCATTTTAAAATGTAATAGAATCTAATTACAAGTGCTACATTTGTGGAATCTGATTGCATAATTCAGATTACACGTAATCAGTTACTACCCAGCACTGTTAGTGAAATATGAAAAGTAACAACCGTAATGAATTTTGTTTCATAAAAACAAAATATATGAACATAATAGCTCGCTAGCATTTTGTTATATTCCCTCGTTTGTGCGTTTGCTGGTACACATCTGCACAATCTACCACACCTTAATGAAACCATTTGTATCTCTTGATAAAACCCAACCTGTATATAGATCACATTAAAGTAGGTTAGATCAAATCAGAGACGATACAATGACTTGACCTGGTTTATAATCACTGTGGTTTGCAGGCAGATTTGTCTTCTGTATCATATAGCACTGCCAAGTCACATGGTGATAACACCAGGGAAATGCTCATAGGCATTATTCACATCAAATGCTCATATAAATTCCCAGAATGTCCTTTAAATGTAACTTTTTTCACACAGTGTAATTTGTGGATTTCCCCTCGCGTTTTTCAGGTGTACAGAAAACTCAGATCTTTATTCACTGTAATATATTTTATTCATACCCGTGATGTGAAATCCTATAATCCAAGAGACTGTGAAATATTTGTCAGGTGGCCATATATCAAAAGGGTCATAGCTATCTGAGATATGCACATGAGAAAAATAATTTGTAATGCTACAAACAATGCTAAAGACACCGCAAGTGAAAAGTGGAACAACTATTTCTAATGTGGAAACTGAGAAAAGTTTGGACTATTTACTTTTTATGCCGTGTACCACAAAACATTTAAACTGATTTTCAAGAGACCAAAAAACATCCACATACAAAAGACAAGACTGTTAAGCAGAAGGTTTTATTTATAAAAGAATGTAGTGCAGATTCACAAATCTCGCAGAAAACAGCATCTGGAAGAGAACAACAAGAAATATTAAGCCACAGGAACACTTGGACACAGCATGAACATATGAATGCTGAAACTCTAGCAATGTGCACAGCTCTACACTGTAAAAAATGTTTTACCGTAAAAAATACGGTAGCAACGTTTTTAAACTTAAATTTACAGTTAAATACCGTAATTTCATTAACTGATATAATGTTAATATACCAACCTATTGAAGTACTGAAATCTGTTTTGTACCTTTGTAATACACTGATAACCACCAAATGCAGGTGGTGATGAGAAAGTCACATGATGAACCAAAGCCCATCACAAGCAGCTTTTAAATAATAACATACATAGAAGGTGCACAGTGTCATTCACACAAACACTAAACACCATCATGGTAACACACATGAAACTGAAATAATGCAATAAACATTCATTTAACAACATTAGGTGTAACCCTAATATACAAAACTGATAAGAAAAAACTAAGAAGAAACGGTTATTTCAACAAAAAAACATCAAATTTTAAATGTAACGCAGGGAATTCTGGGAATGTTAATTTACGGTAATTCACTCTAAATTATACAGTATTTTTCACTTCCAAAAACGGTATACTACCGTAAAATTAATGTCCAATACATGTAAATGTCCAATACAGTTTTTCACCGTATATAGTAGGGGAATTTACCGTTAACCATTTAACAGGTTTTTACTGTAGCATTTTTACAGTCTTTTACCGTTAAATTCACGGTCATTTTTTTACAGTGTATAAAACAAGTCAGCCCTTATTGAACTCAAATTCATGCACGCAACACTTCTGCAAAGCAGCAAAAGAGGGAACCGTTTTAAAAATCGTTGGTTAAACTCACCTCACACGCCACTAGTCCTTGAATGCTGGGTAATTTACCTCCATTAGAAAGGATCACTCCTTGGTGAATATAGACCCTTTATAACAGACAGCATGACACGGAATTAGCATTAAGCGTTGCATTTTTATGGATTACATCATCATGTAGTAAAATGCATCATCAATTGTTGATGTCCATAACATGACACTTTTGAAAGGCACAGATGTAAACGCCTTTCATCAGCCACCTCATGTATTAATGTCTGCCCTAGTTGACACCACATTCATCTGAACAGCAATGAACAGGTAACACATAAGGCATGATTAGCTTCACTCTAGCTGTACTAAAACTTCTTTTTAAACACTTAAGAGAACTGAAAATGTTCATAGCTGCATACCAGGTGTCATGTAACCCTGACCCTGCAGGCCTGCTCACCTGAAATGATAGAATATGATTGTTAAAGCATGCACACAAATGATCAAGTCATGAATGTAGATAATTGTGAACGCTGTTCTTGTCATAGCACAAGCAAGAGGAACAATTAGAGTGTTCTCTCATAAATTAGACTATTTCAAGATTTATTGTGCGCCTTAGTTGACACCACATTCATCTAAAGGAAAATGAATGGGCAACACACAAAGGCAAGACGGAGAACCGTGTATCTAGTATAACTTGCATTCTAATGGAACTAGCTTCACTTTATTCTATTTTTACAATAACTATATTTAAAATCAGCTGTTGATGCAAATTCTTACAAAATGTAGATTCACACCTCATGGGGTCAACACGTGACACGGTGCACCAGCCATTTCCTGCTGCTTTCAATGCAGTGCTGGGGGGAAATAATAATAATAATAATAATAATAATAATAATAATATCAGCAAATATTACAATGAACTGTACTTGCAAAAATGAAAACCACGAGAGCAACAATAATCTTTAAAAAATCCGATGCTGAGGTACGTTTAATTACATATTTAATAGAATATTCCAAGCTGCTCAAGAGTCACAGATAAGCCATTTTTAAATGTGACAACAGAAAGATTTATTTGCACATCTCAGCTGACGAGTATCTAAAATAAACGGGGAATATTTGAAGAACGACGACTGGACAGCATTCAACGGGCTACTCCACAAACGAAATCCTCAATTTTCATAATTGTACCACTAAAAGTAAACATTTCCTATAAAACCTGCTCATGTACAAATAACATTCACTACTTACCCACATGCTACACAATGAAGCCATCTTTACCGCTTTAAGAGCGCATGATGACACTCATCTCCACGTGGACAGGCAACCAGAAAAGTCCTTCAGGAGGAATGAAGGACCCAGTGTAGGCGACTGAGAAAGTGCCTGAGCGCAATTACTTAAACGTGCTTCCTCAATATACACAAGCAAGCAAAGTTTATACACCTACTTATTCATCATTATAACTATTTTCCACATTTTATAAATAATGCATTTGTCTAGATTACAACTCTGCACACGGTTCACTCTCTCAACCAACTGAGGTCTTTTTTTAAACAGTACATAACAGTAAATTATATATTCTGATTTTCCAGTATAATCCATAAAAAATAAATAAAATAAAATTATTAATAATTTCAAAAGTAATTATAGGCACATAATATATTTGTATTTAACACAATTTCATACAAGTTAATCCTAACAGAAAAAGTACTTTAGAATAAAAATCGTATATGACTAGAAAATAATTTTAAGGCTTTAACCTTGAGCATTCAACACGGGGTCGGTGAAGGGTCTGTAAAGGAAGACCACTGACACTGACAAAAAACAAAAATAGAATTTGCTTAAACTATTAGAACGAGATTTTTAACGTTCAAATCTGAATTAACATTAAAATGACAGTCTGGCCAAAAATAAAAATGCTATCGCTATTTAATTTACCCTCATGTCACGACTCACGTAACATAAAAGATATTTTGAGAAATGTCCCAGTATTTATTTGTTTTGTTTTTTTGTTACCAAGAGTCACTGGGTTGGCTGATCGTCAAGGTGGGAATCATGAAAAACTTTTACAATTATATCAGGAAAGTATATAAAATAAAATAAAAAGAGTTATTTGCATTTGTATTTAATAACACTCTCAACGGCTAAATAGCGATCCTACTTTTAACATGCGGGGACGATGGTAGGACTTTTATTTTGAAACTTCCTGGTTTCGCTGCCATCTTGGAGCCGAATTAAGTTGATCCCAGTCTCTTTTGTTGTTCCTGTCAAATCGGAACCGAAGGTCTGAGATCACGAACACAGAGACACTTCCGGTTCCTGTCAGACCTCGACCTAAAGAAACACAAACGTTCAAAACCCCTTTAACACGATCTGAGCGAATAACTGCACTAAAACACAAGGGTAAGCAGCTAATGAGTGTTCATGTCTGTATATGCGTCCTAAAGATAATCAACAAGAGCCAGCTGGTGTGTACGTTAGTGTTGCTTGACATGCGAGCTCAAAACGTTATGTTTATCAAGTTAGCTGTTTGGTTGAGTAGTTGAACTATACTGTCACTTTTTGAGACACTCCCACTGTTATTTCAAACTGAATAAAAACCTCTATTTCAGTGGTTTGTTATGTTTATCTCTGTACTAACTTCATGCTAGGTATGTGGAGCATTAACGGACGGTAGCCCTGTCTGTGAACTAATGATTATTTTTGTTACCCTTGCATTATATTATATACACTCTCGCACAGCTGGGATTGCACTTAATAGTGTGTGTGCTCATTCGGACTCTGTGCTCTTAGATAAGAGAGAAATAATGGGATTGTGTTTGTATTATAACCTAAAGTGCTGATCTGTCTTCCTCTCCTTGTCCTAATGCCAGTGTGTGCTCTGAAACATGAGCTGGCCTTAGTTTAGTTTGTTTATATCAGTGCCAGATGTCAAAGCAGGGCCGTATTTAGTTGATGAGTCAGTTATGAGTGTGCTATAATGGATGTAATGTTGTGTTCGGGTCACATTCCTCACTTTTGCTTCGTTCACTCATGCATTCACCCTGATAAGACTCAAGGCTCTGTGTTTAGATGAAGGAATGTTTGGAATGAGGAAGGGTTTCCATGGGCTTGTTCTGAAAATCTGTGTTGCTGTTGTTGACCTGAGCTCAGTTTCTTAATGTACGTTTTTGCGATCTTGACTGTATGAACTGTTTTTTCCCCACCTGTTCATGAAGAAGTGACTAATTTCTATGAATGCCTGTTTCCACCACAGGATGAAAAACAAATGTGATTTTTATTTTATTTTTTTTTACTTCACAATTCATCAATTTCTTTCCTGTTTTTCCATTTTAATTTAACTTTTTTTTTTATTTATTCCATAGTGGAAACCAAAAAACAGAACTGTGATATGTAAACTCCAAATTCTGAGAAAAAAAGTCAAAATTTCAAGATATAAACTCAGAATTCAGTCTTCTTTTCTCTGAGTTTACCTCTCATAATTAAGACCTATTTGTTTATTCAGAATTGTGAGTTTACATCTCATAATTCAGACTTGCATTTCTGAGCTGTTGAATTTGTACATATATATGTCATATGTGTGTGTGTATATATATATATATATATAAAATAATTAAATATTTAAAATATATATATATATATATATAAATGTGGAGAATATGTTTGTGATAGAAGTTTATAATTCTCACCAAGACTGCATTTATTTGATCAAAAATACAGTAAAACATTCATATTATAATAAGTTAAAATAACCTTTTTACTAAAATGTCATTTATTCCTGAGATGGCAAAGCTGAATTTTCAGCAGTCATTAACTCCAGTCTTCAGTGTCACATTGTCCTTCAGAAAAAAATAAAACTAAAAATAAAGTCAATTTTCTAAATGCAATGTTATTGATCTTATTGTGAATAATTCATCCATGCATGTTTAATTTTTTTTAAGTTAACCTTGTAATTCTTAATCGAAATGTCATAATAATTCAATCTTCCGGTAAAACATCAGACTCTTGTTGGACTTTCCCGATCATTTAGTCCGTTTAAACCCTGCTCCTCTTTTTACAATTATTACAATACGTAAGAAAATGTCTGTTGCTACTTCAGTGTTATCGCAAATTTAAACCTATTTTATTTGCATTTTGCCTTCATTTTAATTGCAATTAAGCATGTTCTCTCCCCACATTTAAAATTCTCATTACTGCAACACAAAAAATATTTAATTGTCATTAATGTTATCCAGTAATGAAAGCCATTCCGTCAATATGGAATCAAACAAAAATGTAAAAAAAAAAAAATTTAATAAAATTTTCAAATTCTCATTCTCATTACATTTAAATTACATTTTATTTTCCTTATGCAGAATGTAATTTCTCATATTGGACTTGCACATGTTCTTGGCAGATTTCATGTTCTTCACCCCTTTAGCCCGGCCTGTGAAGATCAGAAAGACATCTGGACATTTATCTTCAACATGGCCGAATAGTTTGCACCACGGCCAATTCTCCTGACACAGGGATATTTCATATTTTCTGCAACTCCGTGTTATGAAATACTCTTTGCAATATCTGGACTTATACTGCTATTGATTTCTGTATTTTTTTGTACCAACCAGATGGAGTACAACTAAATGTCTTTTTATTATTATCCTCATTCCTGTTGTTTTTTCTGTATGTTTTAATAGAGCCTGAATGCAGGCCCACAGTTCAGCAAGATTGTCCAGGAAGAGAAAGAGAGAAGGTTCAAATAGAGAGGCAGAAGAGGGCGAGAAACCGCTGAAGTTAAAGCGATGCACAGTGGTGAGTGAGATGAAGGTGGTGTAAGCATGTGTACAGATGAGAGATGGTGTTTGAGCCCAAAGGCTGTGATGCTTCTTGCCCCTCAGGGTCTGCAATACCCGGCTCCATATGCAGATCAGCTCGAGTCAATGGAAGATAAGGTGTATCAGCGCGTCACCATGGAGGAAGCTCGCAAAGGCACTCCACGTAGGTTATTTGCCCTCTCTAGCGAACTCCTGCCACACACCTATTCATATGCTCTGTGTTACTTTCATTCACTGACCGCATGACTGCATTCAGGTCAATTTATTGGCCATTATATACGGTCATGGCCAGAAATAATGCATATTTGTATTGCAACATTTTTGCATTATTTCAACATTGTATCCACACATGTATTTCAAAACAAAAAGGTAAAAAAAAAGCTTATTACAAACTGACTGTATTTACAACCTTTGTGATTCATTATATTCCTTCACCTCTCGAATGGCATTTTGGGCCACTTTTCTTCTTTCATATGTTGCTTCCAGACATAGTTATTGGTATTCAGTAGGATACACATCTGGATTTGTTACTTCTGAATTGTGTTTGTTTTTAACAATTCCAGGCTTTTGTCATACGTCATTGTTGTTTTCAGGGTTATTGTCCTGTTGGAAGACAAATGGACCCATTTCACAGACTGTAATGACACCTTTCCACAGTTATTAACATTGTAAATCTAGTTTTTTTTTTATATTTCCAATTAAAAAAAAAAAAGCAGTGTATATTTATAACACTATATTTTGCGTTTTATTACCTTGGCAATAACTACAGAACGCTGGTTAACACAGGCGTGAGTCATTCTAATTCAACAGCTGAGGAAGTGATGGCAAATTTGACATCTTTTTCTTCTGATCAACATAATCGAGATACTTTTTTCCTCTTTTGTAAATGCTATCATGGAATCTTTTTATTGCTACTGGGACAAATGATTATTTGTTGTAGTTTCTGTTCACCACTGTATGAGAACCCTGGAAATATGAAAAGGGTCTGTTACCTTCGACTGAGACATATACATTTCTGAAACTTGGTTCAAAAAACAAACCAAAGAAATGTTTGATGCATCGATATTACAAATCTATTCTGCTTTTTCTTTTGGAAATGAAAGAGTTTACTAAAATATGCCAATTCTGTGGACCCCTAAAAGAAATGCATATGTGGATACCAAAAGACATTTTGAAAGAAACATTATGTTGCGTTACTTGACAAAAATGTAACGGTGCCAATATTTTGGGCCATGACTTTACACATTTTTAGAATGTTTCTATTTTAATCTATACTACCATTCGATGTTTTTGAAAGACGTATCTTATACTCACCAAGGCTGCATTTATCTGATTAAAAATCCAATAAAAACAGTAACATTGTAACTATTAAAAAAGCTATTTTCTATTTGAATATATTTTAAAATGCGATTTATTCCTGTGCTACATTTTCAGCATCATTACTCCAGTCTTCAGTGTCACATGATCCTTCAGAAATCATTCTAGTATTTTTTATTATCAGTGTTGAAATTTTCATCATAATTTTGTGGAAACTGACACGTTTCTTTTTATAAATAGAAAGAATGTTTATTTGAAATATTGTCACTTTTAATCAATTTAATGCATTCTTGCTGAAAAAAAGTAGTCATTTCTTAATAAAAAATCAAATGGAATTATTGAACGGTACTATTTATACATAAAACATTTTGTTTTCTGTTGTTTACCTTTCATAATCACTTGAAATGTGTGTCTAAATGAAGTAGTTCCCACAAAAGCTGAAGTCCTTCTTATTGTTTTCAGCCGACAGGCCTGTGCGTGTGTATGCTGATGGCATCTTCGACATGTTCCACTCAGGACATGCCCGCGCTCTCATGCAGGCTAAATGCCTTTTCCCAAACACTCATCTTATTGTAGGTGGTAAGTAATCCTGAGCGCACAGTGTCTGTGGAGTTCTTGAACTGTTTATCATTCTGATCATTTAGCACAGAGTCCGTCTGTATTTAGCGCCTCTCTCTCTGCAGTGTGTAGTGATGGCCTCACACACAAGTTAAAGGGCTTCACCGTCATGAACGAGGATGAACGCTATGACGCGGTCAGTCACTGTCGCTATGTGGACGAGGTGGTCCGGAATGCTCCGTGGACTCTCACGCCCGAGTTCCTCACCAACCATCGGGTAAGACGAGAGAGAACTGAGCAGTAGTATAATACATATATTTACATATTTTAGTGTTGGAGGACGAAAGTAAAATAAGAACCAAGCAGTGAGCCAATTAATTGTGTCTTTATGTAATGACAGATTGTGTTTTTTGATACCTAAGATTGACTTTGTGGCCCATGATGATATCCCATACTGCTCAGCTGACAGTGATGATGTTTACAAGCACATCAAAGAAGCAGGTGAGGACAACCGCTTCAGAAAATGACCTTTATGTGTTTTTGATGCCGAAATCAATCTCTGCATCTGAAATTTCAGAGTATAACTTATTATTTTAAAGGTGAAATATGCAGATTCTGCGCTACTACAGAAATAAAGCAAATACCACTATGATTAATACTTACAATATCTTGACATTTTATCTGGGGCTTGACGGTAAAGAGCTAACATGTGTGGCAAAACTTGAGCTTGCTTGTCGAGAAGAATCTCGATTGAAACCCAAACAATGGTTTTACTCCATTGTCTGTCTCTGTGTATTTTAGCAAGTCTTTGAATTTTGGCTAGCACTTCTGTAAATGAATCTGAATTTTTTTCTCCCACACTACGCGTCAGCCATGATCCCGTACTGGCTGAGCACCCTCTGGCTCCGCCTGCTACAGTAGCCACACCTCCAAACTCTTGCTATTGGTTGAGCTAGAAGGAGATTTTCAAATCTGAATGGATCACACTAAAAATTTCTCACTGCAAAAACTGACTGTATTTACAACCTTTGTGATTCATTATATTCCTTCACCTCTCGAATGGCATTTTGGGCCACTTTTCTTCTTTCATATGTTGCTTCCAGACATAGTTATTGGTATTCAGTAGGATACACATCTGGATTTGTTACTTCTGAATTGTGTTTGTTTTTAACAATTCCAGGCTTTTGTCATACGTCATTGTTGTTTTCAGGGTTATTGTCCTGTTGGAAGACAAATGGACCCATTTCACAGACTGTAATGACACCTTTCCACAGTTATTAACATTGTAAATCTAGTTTTTTTTTTATATTTCCAATTAAAAAAAAAAAAGCAGTGTATATTTATAACACTATATTTTGCGTTTTATTACCTTGGCAATAACTACAGAACGCTGGTTAACACAGGCGTGAGTCATTCTAATTCAACAGCTGAGGAAGTGATGGCAAATTTGACATCTTTTTCTTCTGATCAACATAATCGAGATACTTTTTTCCTCTTTTGTAAATGCTATCATGGAATCTTTTTATTGCTACTGGGACAAATGATTATTTGTTGTAGTTTCTGTTCACCACTGTATGAGAACCCTGGAAATATGAAAAGGGTCTGTTACCTTCGACTGAGACATATACATTTCTGAAACTTGGTTCAAAAAACAAACCAAAGAAATGTTTGATGCATCGATATTACAAATCTATTCTGCTTTTTCTTTTGGAAATGAAAGAGTTTACTAAAATATGCCAATTCTGTGGACCCCTAAAAGAAATGCATATGTGGATACCAAAAGACATTTTGAAAGAAACATTATGTTGCGTTACTTGACAAAAATGTAACGGTGCCAATATTTTGGGCCATGACTTTACACATTTTTAGAATGTTTCTATTTTAATCTATACTACCATTCGATGTTTTTGAAAGACGTATCTTATACTCACCAAGGCTGCATTTATCTGATTAAAAATCCAATAAAAACAGTAACATTGTAACTATTAAAAAAGCTATTTTCTATTTGAATATATTTTAAAATGCGATTTATTCCTGTGCTACATTTTCAGCATCATTACTCCAGTCTTCAGTGTCACATGATCCTTCAGAAATCATTCTAGTATTTTTTATTATCAGTGTTGAAATTTTCATCATTGGAAACTGGAAACTGACACGTTTCTTTTTATAAATAGAAAGAATGTTTATTTGAAATATTGTCACTTTTTTAATGCATAATGCATTCTTGCTGAAAAAAAGTAGTCATTTCTTAATAAAAAATCAAATGGAATTATTGAACGGTACTATTTATACATAAAACATTTTGTTTTCTGTTGTTTACCTTTCATAATCACTTGAAATGTGTGTCTAAATGAAGTAGTTCCCACAAAAGCTGAAGTCCTTCTTATTGTTTTCAGCCGACAGGCCTGTGCGTGTGTATGCTGATGGCATCTTCGACATGTTCCACTCAGGACATGCCCGCGCTCTCATGCAGGCTAAATGCCTTTTCCCAAACACTCATCTTATTGTAGGTGGTAAGTAATCCTGAGCGCACAGTGTCTGTGGAGTTCTTGAACTGTTTATCATTCTGATCATTTAGCACAGAGTCCGTCTGTATTTAGCGCCTCTCTCTCTGCAGTGTGTAGTGATGGCCTCACACACAAGTTAAAGGGCTTCACCGTCATGAACGAGGATGAACGCTATGACGCGGTCAGTCACTGTCGCTATGTGGACGAGGTGGTCCGGAATGCTACGTGGACTCTAACGCCCGAGTTCCTCACCAACCATCGGGTAAGACGAGAGAGAACTGAGCAGTAGTATAATACATATATTAGTGTTGGAGGAAGAAAGTAAAATGGGAAGCAAGGGGTGAGCCAATTAATTGTGTCTTTATGTAATGAACGACTGTGTTTTTTGATACCTAAGATTGACTTTGTGGCCCATGATGATATCCCATACTGCTCAGCTGACAGTGATGATGTTTACAAGCACATCAAAGAAGCAGGTGAGGACAACCGCTTCAGAAAATGACCTTTATGTGTTTTTGATGCCGAAATCAATCTCTGCATCTGAAATTTCAGAGTATAACTTATTATTTTAAAGGTGAAATATGCAGATTCTGCGCTACTACAGAAATAAAGCAAATACCACTATGATTAATACTTACAATATCTTGACATTTTATCTGGGGCTTGACGGTAAAGAGCTAACATGTGTGGCAAAACTTGAGCTTGCTTGTCGAGAAGAATCTCGATTGAAACCCAAACAATGGTTTTACTCCATTGTCTGTCTCTGTGTATTTTAGCAAGTCTTTGAATTTTGGCTAGCACTTCTGTAAATGAATCTGAATTTTTTTCTCCCACACTACGCGTCAGCCATGATCCCGTACTGGCTGAGCACCCTCTGGCTCCGCCTGCTACAGTAGCCACACCTCCAAACTCTTGCTATTGGTTGAGCTAGAAGGAGATTTTCAAATCTGAATGGATCACACTAAAAATTTCTCACTGCAAAAAAAAGGCTTATCTTACTTAGTATTTTTGTCTTGTTTCCGGTCAAAATATCTCAAAATTCTTAAATTAAGATGCATTTACTACATAAGCAAAATGACATAAGATAATTTGTCTTGTTTCCAGGCGGAAAAAAAAAAAAACTAAATTAAGTGCATTTTGCTTAAAATTAGAAAATTATCTGCCAGTGGGGTAAGTAAAATATACTTAAAACAAGAGTATTTTACTTAGCCCACTGGCAGATAATTTTACTTATTTTAAGCAAAATGCACTTAATTGAGTTTTTCCCCTGGAAACAAGACAAATGATCTTATGTCATTTTGCTTATCTAGTAAATGCATCTTAATTTAATATTATCAGTGTTGAAAACAGTTGTGCTGCTTCATATTTTTGTGGAAAACGTGACTTTTTTTTTTTTCAGGATTCTTGTATGAATAGAAAGTTCAAAAGAACAATATTTTTTTTGAAATGTTGTCACTTGTAATTAATTTGATTGCATCCTTGCAAAATAAAAGTATTAATAAAATTATTTCTTAATAAAAAAGTCTTACCCCAAATTTTTGAATGGTCAAATATTTACAACATTTTGTAAAATTCTAAAGAATTTTTACCTTTCATACTGACTTGAAATGTGTGTCTAAATTAAGTAGTTCCCTTGATGCCATCAAAGCTGATGTCCTTCTTCTTGTTTCTAGCTGACAGACCTGTGCGGGTGTACGCTGATGGCATCTTCGACATGTTCCACTCAGGACATGCCCGCGCTCTCATGCAGGCTAAATGCCTTTTCCCAAACACTCATCTTATTGTAGGTGGTAAGTAATCCTGAGCGCACAGTGTCTGTGGAGTTCTTGAACTGTTTATCATTCTGATCATTTAGCACAGAGTCCGTCTGTATTTAGCGCCTCTCTCTCTGCAGTGTGTAGTGATGGCCTCACACACAAGTTAAAGGGCTTCACCGTCATGAACGAGGATGAACGCTATGACGCGGTCAGTCACTGTCGCTATGTGGACGAGGTGGTCCGGAATGCTCCGTGGACTCTCACGCCCGAGTTCCTCACCAAGCATCGGGTAAGACGAGAGAGAACTGAGCAGTAGTATAATACATATATTAGTGTTGGAGGAAGAAAGTAAAATGGGAAGCAAGGGGTGAGCCAATTAATTGTGTCTTTATGTAATGAACGACTGTGTTTTTTGATACCTAAGATTGACTTTGTGGCCCATGATGATATCCCATACTGCTCAGCTGACAGTGATGATGTTTACAAGCACATCAAAGAAGCAGGTGAGGACAACCGCTTCAGAAAATGACCTTTATGTGTTTTTGATGCCGAAATCAATCTCTGCATCTGAAATTTCAGAGTATAACTTATTATTTTAAAGGTGAAATATGCAGATTCTGCGCTACTACAGAAATAAAGCAAATACCACTATGATTAATACTTACAATATCTTGACATTTTATCTGGGGCTTGACGGTAAAGAGCTAACATGTGTGGCAAAACTTGAGCTTGCTTGTCGAGAAGAATCTCGATTGAAACCCAAACAATGGTTTTACTCCATTGTCTGTCTCTGTGTATTTTAGCAAGTCTTTGAATTTTGGCTAGCACTTCTGTAAATGAATCTGAATTTTTTTCTCCCACACTACGCGTCAGCCATGATCCCGTACTGGCTGAGCACCCTCTGGCTCCGCCTGCTACAGTAGCCACACCTCCAAACTCTTGCTATTGGTTGAGCTAGAAGGAGATTTTCAAATCTGAATGGATCACACTAAAAATTTCTCACTGCAAAAAAAAGGCTTATCTTACTTAGTATTTTTGTCTTGTTTCCGGTCAAAATATCTCAAAATTCTTAAATTAAGATGCATTTACTACATAAGCAAAATGACATAAGATAATTTGTCTTGTTTCCAGGCGGAAAAAAAAAAAAACTAAATTAAGTGCATTTTGCTTAAAATTAGAAAATTATCTGCCAGTGGGGTAAGTAAAATATACTTAAAACAAGAGTATTTTACTTAGCCCACTGGCAGATAATTTTACTTATTTTAAGCAAAATGCACTTAATTGAGTTTTTCCCCTGGAAACAAGACAAATGATCTTATGTCATTTTGCTTATCTAGTAAATGCATCTTAATTTAAGAATGTTTTAGATATTTGTACTGGAAACAAGACAAAAATTAGTACGATAACCCTTTTTTGCAGTGCTGTGGTGCCTGAGAGGCTCAATATTTATACTTTTAGGGAAGATAAACCCATGAATAGCAAACTTATAGTAGTTAGTTGGCAGTAAACTGGGTTAGGAGAATGTATTTTGACAAAACATTCGTTGGTCGATTAGAAACTAAATGTCCTTGTTCTTAACTGGTGTGCTAATCTTTAAAACCTTCCACAGGAATGTTCGCACCAACCCAACGGACAGAGGGCATTTCCACCTCTGACGTCATCACACGCATCGTACGAGATTATGACGTCTACGTCAGACGGAATCTTCAACGTGGCTACACCGCAAAAGAGCTTAATGTCAGCTTCATCAATGTGAGCGTTCATTCGTTTACTAGTAGAAAATGGTCTCAAGATTAGGATTCGATACCAGAAATGAGAGTTTCTTAATCAATGTGTTGCTGTGCATTATTACCGACACACAGGAAAAGAAGTACAACCTTCAGGAGCGTGTGGACAAGGTGAAGAAGAAGGTGAAGGACGTGGAGGAGAAGAGTAAAGAGTTTGTGCAGAAGGTGGAGGAGAAGAGCATCGACCTGATCCAGAAATGGGAAGAGAAGTCCCGCGAGTTCATCGGCAACTTCCTGCAGATGTTTGGACCGGAGGGATCATTAGTGAGTATTTCTTTAACAATAGCTATATCCTAAAACTGCAAACTCTGCATCCTGTCTTCATATGTGACTGAGTTGGAATGCTCTATGCCTCTCGCCACTCAAAATTGCACATCATGGACGCGACTCTTGGTTGATTCCAGAATAGTTTGATGTTGTTACACTAATGATGCAATATTCTTTTAAGCATAAAACTACACATTTTAGGTAAAATAGTCTATTTATTTAGAAATATACCCGCAGGCAGCAATTATAAGGGTCCAAGCATCAGTAGTTAAAGGGATAGTTCACCCAAAAATGAAAATTCTGTCATTAATTACTCACCCTCATGTCGTTCCAAACCTGTAAGACCTTCGTTCGTCTTCGGAACACAAATTAAGATATTTCTGATGAATTCCGAGAGCTCTCTGACCCTCCCATAGACCGCAAGAATCCTAACACGATCAAGGCTCAGAAACGTAGCAAGGACATCGTTAAAATAATCCATGTGACATCAGTGGTTCAACTGTAATTTTACGAAGCTACGAGAATACTTTATGTGCGCAAAGAAAACAAAAATAACGACTTTATTCAACAATTCGTCTCCTCCGCGTCACCCTATAGCACCATTTTGGAGAGTATCACATACATAAACAACATATGCAACGTGGATACGTTGTTTATGTTCAGATCAAAGAGTAAACAACGTATGTAACGTAAGGTGTGCGTAAGGTGCTGCTGACACAGAACAGCATACATTGTTTACGTATGTGATCCTCTCCAAAATGGTGCTATAGGGGTTTGGATCGACATGAGGGTGAGTAATTAATGACAGAATTTTCATTTTTGGGTGAACTATCCCTTTAAGACAAAGAGGTGATACAATTGTGGTGTATCTTTTTGTTATTAGTGTAAAGTCAACAATCTCCACATACACTGTACGTTAGGATTTAATGAAACTGCTGTCAATTTCACCTGTTGTGATTTGATGTTCTTAGCTGATGAAAATTGCAATGTTTGTTGATTTGAGTCTTATTTGAAGAATATGTTAGCATGTGTACAAAGATGCCGCATACCAATTTACAACTTGTTGGATCATATGGTTGTGGACAAAACTTGGTGGGTGTCTTCAGAATGTCCTGTTGTCTCTAAGTTATGCTGGTTGAAAGTCTCTTCACATCCTGATAGCAATCATTAAGTTAAGTGGTCTAAATGTATTTATCTGTATTTATGTATTCTGTGGAAGGCGTAGGACCAAGAAATGTTCGTCCAATCAAAACGCTCGGTCCGAGCGTTTTAATTGGCTTTCCTACCTGCCTGTCAATGTATGTATCTGCATACCTCTGCGCACCCTGTTCACGCAGACAGGATACGTCATCAGATAACCAACTCGTTAGAAGTGAGCTACGTGCATGAACTGTGTTCCGATCGATATGATCCCTACACAGTGTTCATTGCGCCCTCCTCCCTGAGCAGGGGTTTACGTCACTTCGGAACATGGACTGGAATTGGGAACCGCTGATGTAGCCTATTGTAGTAATGTTGTCTCTGGTATTCTGGTCTGTGAGTGTAAATGCGTTCAGGGGGCGTGGCTTTGGACGGCGATTGCAGGGAGGGGGGGACGTTCGCTTCAGTGCTATCAGGCTAAAGTTAGCATTTTCCAAGATCTCCTACTGCACCTTTAAGTTTAGACATTGGCAGATATAGGTCATTTCATTAAAAATGGGCATCGTCTGACCAATTTATTCACTTATTCACAATGCTTTGATGAATGTCAATCATTTTAAGAACTTTTTGTCATGATGGTCTGAGGATGATGTGTGCCACGTTTTATGGGAATCAGACCAACAGCCTAGGAGGAGTTCAAAAAAGTAGATTTTTTTTTGTGTGGAAAATGCAATATGGCAGTTTTTTTTTTTTAATACAAATTTAGTTGTCAGTATTGAACGAAACTGGTAAAGCTAGCAATGCTAAGGTCAGTGGTTTGATTTCCCAAGGAACAGATTTTTTTCCCCAACTGCACACTTAGTAGTGCATTCTGGGATTGCCTTAGCCCAGAAACATACACAGTGCGAGTACATGGAACCAAAAGCTTCTAGTTATGTAACTTTGCATTTTATTTGCTCTGTGCAGTGTTGCATGTTGTCGCTGTGTGAAATGTGTTGGAAAGCAATTTATAACTTGGTAAAACCATTCATGTTTGCTCTGTTCAGACTGCAAAAACCCAGAAATGAACATTCAAACCTGTTTAACTTACTTTCTTCTGTGAAACTAAGCTAACTGAGTCTTGTTTTAGCACTTGCATATCATTGCTCTTTTGTTGGTTTTGATTGCTTCCATTGTCCTCATTTGGAAGTTGCTTTGGATAAAAGCGTCTGCTAAATGACTAAATGTAATGTAATAATGAATGAGAACCCTGTTTTTTAAATGAAAATAGCAGTTGTTAATGGAACAAACTAAAATAAGAAATAAAATAAACGTTTTAGCTTATTTTAAACCGGTTTTAATCTTATTTTAAATTAATTTAAGCCATCCTGCGGCCTTCTGGTTGAGAAGCACTGTTTTAAAGTCATGAATCTAAAAATGAAAAGCCATTATGGCCTCCTCAGGTATCAGTAGCTATGTTTCCATCCACCTATTTTTCACAAATATCACAAATACCCATGACTCCGCTCAAGGTCTCTTATAGGCTATGTGTTGTTCTTCCTCTCTAACAGAAGCACATGCTGAAGGAGGGAAAAGGGCGAATGCTTCAGGCCATCAGTCCGCGGCACAGCCCCAGCAGCAGTCCCACACGCGAGCGTTCCCCGTCTCCAACTTTCCGTCTGCCCTTCTTCACCAAAACCTCCCCGCCCTCGTCCCATCACAGCAGCGCCCTGTCCGGCTACACCTACGCTGCCCGCGGGCTGGCCATCAGCGAAGACGAGGAGGACGACGAAGATTAGAGTGCCAGAGAGCACCATGCATCCGTCTTCCAATACTGGCAATCCAACCTCAGAAACGAAGCAATCCTTACACGACCCATGGGTTTCGCTCTCTGTATTACTAACACACACGAAGGGTTAAAATGGAGCGATGTCTAGAACGTTAGTGACGGAGTCGGTTCCAACTTGAGGGGTTTTTAAGTCATTGTCAGCGATGGGATGCGAGTATTCAAACTCCAGCGTCTCGTCTTGAATCACGCTGGATTGGCGTGTGTTTTAAAACGAGTGCGCATGGTATTAATGCGTTTCATTGTTGTTTTAAGTTCCGTTTTAATGTTCTTATCATAATATATAATTGTTAGACATCTCGTAATTCACGTGTCTCTTGGGGGCGAGATTGATGTCTAACGTTGAAAACGCTGAGAGGCGAACTGTAAGATAAAAGCTAATTCTCTAAATACAAGAGCTAAAAAATTTAAATGATTTGTATGTATTACAAGGTGCATAATCAGTGTTGCCGTGGTAACAATTCTACTAATTATAAAAATACGCCAATATTATACAGGCATGACTGAGTGCAAAATGATAGTTTGTCTACATGAATTTGGTGTGTCATGCTTTAGTAAAGGTCAGAATTCCAAATTTGAACACTGCGTTTTAAAAATATATGCTTAATAAACTAAAGAGTTGTCTGTTTTTACTGTAAAAATGAAAGTGTTATTTCATCACCGCACAATGCCCTGTTTATCTCTCACTGTGATTGATTTCTTTCAAAGAGCTCTTAATGAATAACCATAAAACATAGGTTGAAGGGCTAGTTTTCCAAGTTCGCTTTAGATCTTTGGACTCAAGCTTGATAATTACATAATTAGGTTCTGCAAAATGAGTCTTGCATGTTTTTAAGTCAAACCAATGGCGCTGTTGATAATTGTTAAGGAATGAAACCACTTAAAAGGAATATTCTGTGTTAAATACAACTTAAACTCAACAGTCGGTGTCCAGTGCAGAGTTATATACAATGCAGTTGTTTTAAGAGTTATTCTGTTAATCAGTTGAGGGACAAAATGATGTACTGTGGTGAATGACAGAAGCTTAACTTGTATTTAACCCTTAACGTTCACTTTGAAGAGCTTTGTCACCATTTTTTATGTATGTGTATGGATATGCAATGGTCAGTTTTAGATGGTACGTGTTTAAATTGAGATTGTACCACCAGTGATTATAATATCTATGTTCTGTTATCTCATTTCATAATTTGATGAGAGGCGGAGACTCAACAAACTGCTGTCCAGACTTGCACTGATGTCAGAATTCAACTATTGTTATGCAAATAGTTAATGCTTCATTTTCATGGTAATGTCTGTTTTCCAGCCTCTGGACTTTTCCTTTGCACAAATGAAGTGACTCTAGGAGAGATTATTATTTTATTAACTTTGCCTTCCCTTATCCTGTCAGCCTTTGATTGTACAGGATGTCAACAGAGACAGGAAGACAAATAAATAGTGTCTAATGTACAAGATGGGGTGTTGTATTTTGTTCTACCATCTAATTTACTACCAAGATGCAACACGTATGGGTATGCATAAATGCAGCACAGTACAAATATGAAATATATAGATGTGCAGTGCTGGTAGATAACTTGTAAATTGTAGTTTGTTACGGATTCCAAAATTTACATGACAAAATTGTAGTTAATAATGTAATCTATTACACATTTTAGGTTATGTAATCAGACTACTTTTCGATTACTGGACCTTTGACTTTATTTCTATTGTGTGAATCATGTTATGTAATCAATAAAAAAATTAACTGTAGTCTGATTACAAGTATTTTAAAATGTAATAATCTAATTACAAGTACTTAATGTTTGGAATCTGATTACATAATCCAGATTATATGTGACCCTGGACCACAAAACCAGAGAAAAAAATATGGAATCTGAGGGTGTAAAAAAAATATATACATATATATATATATCAAAATATTGAGAAAATCGCCTTTAAAGTTGTCCAAATTAAGTTGTTAGCAATGCATATTACTAATCAAAAAGTAAGTTTTGATATATTTACAGTAGGAAATTTACAAACTATCTTCATGGAACATGATCTTTACTTAATATCCTAATGATTTTTGGCATAAAAGAAAAACTGATCATTTTGACCCATACAATGGGTTGTTGGTTATTTCTACAAATATACCCCAGCAACTTGAGACTGCTTTTGTGCTCCAGGGTCACATGTTACATGTAAACTGAAAAGAAAGGAGTCTTCGAATGACAAATACACACCAACACAATGTTTTTTCCTCATTATTATTTATACTGAACTAAACAGTCACAGAGAGATAGCGATAAGATACAGAGAGTATGACCAATGGGAGAATAACCAACAACAAAATGGACAGTGGTCCCCTTAAGACCGACTACAGCGAATCAGGAAGCTGGGCTTTGACTGACAGACAGACACACACTGCACCACCCACTGCTCTTCACTGGATCGGTTCATTACAGCACTCGAACAAACACATACGGGTAACTACGATTCAAATTTTGCATATTTTTTTTTATAATTAGCCTTTTTAATTCATCCACAAATCTTGAGGAGAGGGGAAGGAGGGAAACATAGTATATTTATAGGAGAGTAAGAGCTGGTCCCTCTGCTCAGCGGCTTGTTAGCAGCGCGTCTCGTAGATTCCACTGCGTCCGATGTATCGCACCCATTTAATCACATCGTGGTCACTGTAGTTGAGTTTCGACTCGAATACCTTCAGGTAACGAACCTTCAGCCCAGAGGGAGCAAACGGAACCTGAGACAGAGGAAGATAACGGAGGAAATACATCAGAGATGTGTGCTGCTAAAAGGGAACTAATAGTTGAATAACATATGTCAGATAAACTATTATTTTACATAAAATAGAAGACAATAATGATACAAATATATGAAAATATAAAAAAGTAATTAGCTTGAATCTAACGTACAAACCTCCCCTAAAAATGAACAACATTCAACTGTTAGCTTATTGAGGAAAAAAAAAATCAAGCTAATATTCTTTTATTCATTAGAAATAAGTAGGTAAATAGATTTTTTTTAGTTTATATTTTTTTAAAATATTTATTTACTGCTAAATTCAATCACAAATCAACTGTATCCAAAGTTATTTTAGTTCAAAAGAAGCACTGCAAACCTCAAAAATATTCAAATATCATTCAACCCTGATAGTCAACTTATTGAGATACAAAGCCCATTTTAATTTAAGAGAAATGCAAGACAGTAAATTAATATTTTGAGTTGCTAATTTTTTCATGTCTGTACATATTGCTAAAATAAAAATAAAAATCTGGGTTTTAAATTGTATCCAAACATGTCCAGATTTTAGTTAATTACAAAAAAAAGCACAGCAAACCTCATTAAAAAAACATTAAAATATCAATTCATTCAACCCTGTTAACCCGTTTATTGATTAAAAAAAACAAGCTAATGTTTTCTGTCATTTATAAGAAACATATGTTAGTAAATAGATGTTTTCTGATAATGTTTTAAATCAATATTTATATTTATCGCTAAATTACAATTACACAAATCAAGGTTTTAAACGATCCAAAGATGTCCATGTTTAATTTAGTTAAAAAAGTACCACAAATCTCAGAAAAATATAAATTCACTCAACCCTGTTACTCCGCTTTTTGACAAAAATTAGCACATTTTTTCTTATTTACGAGCAAAACAAGTTTGTAAATAGATATTTTATCAATGTCTATATATTGGCTGCTACATTAAGTCACACAAATCAGGGTTTTAAAGTGTATTCAAACATGGCCACATTTTACTTTATAGTAAAGAAAAATAAAATAGTACAGTATAAAAAATAAAACGGCTATTATAAACATATTTAGTTTGACATCATAAGGTGGACGAACAACTTTCTGTGAAGGTTAAAGGGTTAGTTCAGCCAAAAATGAAAATACTGTCATTAATTACTCGCCCTCATGTCGTTCAAAACCTGTAAGACCTTCGTTCATCTTCACAACTCAAATGAAGATATTTTTGATGAAATCCGAGAGCTCTCTGACCCCTCCATAGACAGCAAGGGAACTACCACGGTCAAGGCACAGAAATGTAGTAAGGATATCGGTAAAATAGTCTTTGTGACATTAGTGGTTCAACCGTAATTTTACAAAGCTACGAGAATATTTTTTGTGTGCAAAGAAAACTAAAAGAACTTTATTCAACTATTTCTTCTCTCCCGGGAAAATTACGGTTGAACCACTGATGTCACAAAGACTATTTTACCGATATCCTTACTACATTTCTGTGCCTTGACCGTGGTAGTTCCCTTGCTGTCTATGGAGGGGTCAGAGAGCTCTCGGATTTCATCAAAAATATCTTAATGACATGAGGGTGAGTAATTAATGACAGTATTTTCATTTTTGGCTGTGCCAACCCTTTCAGCACCTCCTTTTACCAATCATTTGATGAAAAAAAAACAAAAAAAAGTAGGGGAAAAAAAAAACGTACTTTGTACCATTTATGTATAAAGTGGCATTTAGCGATGTAGCAATCAAAAACACTCACCTCAAAGTTCATGGAAATGGGTGGACGGGCCCACTTCTTCTTATCATTAGTGGGCAGCAGCTCGATCTCAGCACTGATCTGAGACTCCTTCATTCCTGCCATGCGTTTGATCCTGAGCAGACAGAAGGGGTGACATGAATGAGTATATACACACACAAACACCAAACGCAGAGGAATGTCAAGATGACGGTGACACTTACTTCCACACGATGGCATTCTCACTGGCCTTGTATTTAGCTTTTCCTTTCATACAGATCACCTGCACTCCACTAGTGTTCAGAGGTGTAGGAATACGCACCTGTTCAAAACATTCACCTCGTACATCATCTGACAAACTCTTTCTCACAAACAATGTGAAAGTGTGTAATGATATGTCTATATATTCTCTTTTAACTGACCTCTATTTTCTGTGCCAGGAGCGAGGGCTTGAAATTAGATTTGATGACAACTTTGACCTCCAGCTTTGTGCGCCCAACCTCTCGAACCAGTGGAATGACCCGGAAGGGCAGGATTATGTCCTTAGTGGTGCGATACCTGCACACGCAGATTGAGGATGTGTTGAGACCGAGTCAGACTCGAGTGTGAAGACAGATGGAAGCTGAACTGACCTCATGAGCTCATACTCCCCATCAGGAGGAATGAAACTGATGCTGCGCTCCGAGTCGAACTTGCTGAGACGCACACACTGATGGAAAGTGCAGTCATCGATGGCTATGGACTGTTTGCCACTGGTAGAAATGATAGAGAAACGAAGACGGTGAGAGTTTGCTATTTGTCAAATATGAGAATAAACTGTATTACCACTGACAAAAATATCAAAAATCTAATTAAATCAAGTAAAATCACTGCTGTACTTTTAAAAACTAGGGATGTATTGAAAGTTTCACCTCATTTTCATTATAGCCAATAACCGCCAATATGAAAGCTACACTACTGTTTCAAAAGTTTGAGGTCAGGAAATTTTTATTTTTTTTTTAAAGTAAATTAATACTTTTATTCAGCAAGGATGCATTAAAGATTTATCGGAAGTGAAAGTTAATGCATTTATAATTTTCTATAATTCAAATAAATGCTGTTATTTTCTCTATTTATTAAAGAATCCTGAAAAAATATTTATCATAGTTTCCACTAAAATATATAAGATAATAATAATAAGATATGTATTTGAGCAGTGAATCAGCATATTAGAATGATTTCTGAAGGATCATGTGACACTGAAGACTGGAGTAATGATGCTGAAAATTCTGCTTTGATCACAGGAATAAACTACGTTTTAAAATATAAGTTATTTTACATTGTAACAATACTTAATAATATTACTGTTATTACTATGTTTGATCAAATAAATGCAGCCTTGGTGAGAATAAGAAACATTTTACAGACTCCAAACCTTTGAACGGTAGTGTACACTGCTATTTTGTTTAAAAAAATAGTTTAGAATGAAATCTTCGAATGCTCTTCTGTAATCTGGCATTGAAATAGTGGCGAGATGGAATTTGAAATCAAATCAAATCCCTGAATTTATAATGATACAATTTTAAAAATGCTAATGGTAATATATAAATAATAAATAAACAACTAAATGGAAATATTAATAAAAGACACTCATATGTTGTACAGTTTAAAAGCACAACTAACATAAAACTGAACGCAGAAATATAAAGATACAATACCTTCCCCCTAACTCACTGTGGTAGCACAGAGAAAAAGAGACGCAACAAAAACAGACAGCTTCAAAAATCAAAATAAACCACACACTTTACAATCAAACATGTTTGAAAATTCTGGATCGAGAAACACAAAATCCAGACAAAAAGACAAAACGTAATTTTCAAAGCAAATAAGAGAGGAGACAGACAAGCAAAAGCTCTGCATTAGTGCATGAGGCACTCTGAAACCTTTTCCCAGGATCGTCAGTAGTTCCTCCTTTCCCCTGTTTGTCAATG